ATTAATCACGACTGCAATCAATTTGATCGTAAGACTTTTGATTGCAATCAAATCACTGATTCAATCAAACATCTTAATTGCAATAACAAAAATGCAATAATTTATTCATATTTTATTTTTTCCGTTTTATGTTTCTTGTATGGCACAATAACACAATGTAAACGGCGAGTTGTGACCACGTAAAATTGCATGCACGTTATTTTTGTAATTTACATTGAGGAAAAAGTTTAGTTACGTCAACAAAATATGTTTCTGTCAACACATGATTTGGTCATCGTTACACGATTAAGTTATAGTTACCAAATCTTGAGTTGAAAGAAATATATTTAGCATACTTTTTTCTCAGTGTACCATGAGGTCATCATATTTTAGTTTGTTCCAGTATTCTGTAGGCAAAAACCTGTGGAACTGTCAAACTAAAATGTTACTCTCTCAAGTGAGAGTTACAGGAGAACATATGCAGAAGTGTACTGGAATTCAAAAAGCATTTTTTCCTGCACAAACATCAGTGGGTTTCTTGACATGTCATTGGTACTACACTCATTTGGCTGAACAACCAGTAAAAAACACCGTGCGAAAGTGGGGCAAAATATAGTAAAACTGCGTTTTTAGTTTTTCTCTCTGACGTCAGTATTTTTTTAAGACGACGTTGCAATCTCTAGAATACGATTGAATAAAAAAAAATATTTAAAAGATGCTGTGCAGTGTAGAGTAACAATGTGGGTATCAATTAAAAGGAAAAATTCTGTAGAATAGAAAAAAAATTAATATTTGGTTGCACCAGGACGAATAAGTATTGAAAAGGTCCTTTTAAAACTCCTTTATCCTTGGAAATTTCCCAAATTTATTTAAAAAACAAATATATGTCAAGGAGTAATATGTTAACTACCACATCCTCGAATTTCGTCCTTCTAACTTTATTAGTTTTAGATTAAAAAAATTTACACTTTTCTTTATAAGATATTGATAGTTACAATATACATAAATGAAGATACTGGAATCATTATTATGGAACCATGTATGCACTCTAAAAGATCGAACTGACCGTATGGTTTAAATACTTGTAATTGTTTTGTACACAAAGGCGTAGTCCGCCTTTCATCTAGGGTGCAGGAGATTATATAGAGGGAAAAAATGTTTTTAATTATATCTTTTTTTTGTGTATATAAAACGAAATTTGCGGAGTTAAGAAAGTATAAGTTTTCTGGTAACTTTTACAATTTTTACCAATTTTTTAAAAATCGGTTAGTAATTTTTTGTTTAAAATGTTTTTCTTTATAAAAAAAGGGTATTTTTTGTTTTCAAGTGCCTTTTCTCAAACTATTATACACGACGTATACAAATATGCACACCAGAAGAAAGGGGGTTCAATCGCCTTTACAACGATACCAATTTCATAAAAATCGGTTAGTAATCTCTTTGTTAAATTTTTTTTATAAAAAATGTATATTTTCCTTTTAAGTGTTTTTTCTCAAATTTTTATATACGAAGTATACAAATACGCATATCAGAAGAAGATTTGATTGCGTTAACAACGATATCAATTTTTTTTTTAAATCGGTTAGTAATTTGTTTGTTTAAAATATTTTTTTTATAAAAAAAGGTATTTTTTCCTTTTAAATGTTCTCAAATTTTTACATACAAAGTATACCAATATGCATATCAGAAGAGAAGGGGGTCTAATCACGTTTACAACGATACCAACTTTTTAAAAATCAGTTCAAAATTGTTTGAAATATAAGGTTTGTAATTTTTCGAAGAACCGACCTGTGCCCCCTTATAGCACCTGTAATATCAGTTTGCAAAAATAAAGTTATAAACAGGTACCGTAACAGTTACAATTTTTATTACAAAAATCACTCTTTAACAATTATTTTTTTACTTTTATTTAATTTCTCTTTAAATAACCGTTATTTCTGACTTTTATTTTATAAATAGAAAATAACAATTATTTTTGATTTTTATTTAAATAATCTGCAAATAACAGTTATTTTTGATTTTTAAATTATATGTCTTAAATAACAGTTATCGAATACTTTTATTTATAAAAGTCATAAATAAAAATCAGTCACTGATCTTTATTTCTTCAATCATACTTATAAAAGTCATTTGAATAAGTCGTAGTAAACTTTTGTTTTCCAAGACCTTAACTGCGAAAAATGTTAAGGACTTTTATACGATTGATTTAAAAAATTAAAGTCGGTGACTGATTTATATTAATGACTTTTAAAAGAAAAAAATGTCACTGACTGATTTTTATTGATGACTTTTATAAATAAAACTCTTCAATAACTGTTATCTAAGCCATATAATATAAAAATCAAAAATAATTGTTATTTTGGATTTATAATATAAAAATCAAATATAATAGTTATTTTTTTAATCTTTGAATAAAAATTGCAAATAAAAATTTATTTTCAAATTTGAGTCTCGGTGCAAAACGAAATCGATTGGTATGCTTCACTTAGTTGTAGAACATTTCCTTCATAGTGAATTTTTCCATGACAGTTTTCATCAATAACTCTTATGTTCGGTCCCTGGTTATAAACCATTTAAATAAGAGCAAAAGGCGGTCTACGACTGTATTTTTAGTTTTTTAGTTATTTACATATAATAATAAAAAATAATTTTTTACCAAAGATTCTATTTCGAACTTCGAATGCGATTTCGGAGGCTAACTTCGAAAAACTCTTTTAACTATGACTGAATCTCTTAAAAAGATTGGTTTGTCCAATACCCAGCGGAGTGCTGTACAGTGTAATGATTCTAGTATCTTCATTTCTGTATTTTGTGTAACTATCAATATCTTATAAAGAGAAGTGTAAATTTTTTTTTTTATTTAAAACTAATAAAGTTAGAAGGACGCAATTCGAGGATGTGGTAGTTTACATATTAGTCCTTGACATATATTTTTTTTAATATATTATATATTATATTTTTAATATATTTTTTTTAATAAATATTGGAAATTTCCATGGATATTCAAGGATTAAGTTTTAAAAGGACATTTTCAACATTTATTTGTCCTGGTGCAAAAAAAATGATTTGTTTTAAATTCTACAGAATTTTTCCTTTTAACTGATACCCATATTGTTACTCTACAATGCACCAAATCTTTTAAATAATTTTTTTATTCAATCATATCTAGGAAATTTCAAGGTCCTTAAAAAAAAATTCTGACGTCAGAGAGAAAAATTAAAAACGCAGTTATACTATATTTTGTTTTGCTAGTTTTGTGAATATATTAATTTTTTCGTGTGTTTTAAAAATTTTTGGTTTTTGTCGCACGGTCGGTGTAATTATTAAAATATATTCAATTAAGAATAACTGCGTACATATTCAAATATTTCGTTTTTAACTTAATTTTTTTAACAAATGTAAGGTTCTTTGCTTTCACCGCGTTTTGTTTTTGTATACAAATGTAACCCTGTCTATCGTTTAACACTTTTCATGAACTTGCAGGAAGGAAAACCTTGGGCAAAATCCTGCAACTTCTGACTGGTAAGAGTTGCTCTCTTACTACTGTTGCTAGTGAGACAAATTCTTGCTTACGGGAACGACTTCCTGTAATATCACCCTTTGCTTACTATGTCCTGGAGTGCTAGAACAAATTATTTGTCTTATATGTTTAAGTTAGACAATAGTCGTTAGGAAGTTGTTGTTGCTTGAAGAAAAACATTTTATTCACAAAACGGCAAAAAAAATATTGAGGACTGTTGTAAAATTTTAGCTCATAATATAAATATGACAACTTTTGGATTATTTTAAAGAATTTATATTTGGCAGAGCCATTAGCGGGGGCACTTCTAGTTTGTGTGGTCAGGCGAAGTATGTATGGTTTGCGTTGGCTCATCAGTAGATATAGCAACAACGAAGAATGGTGGGTGATGTAGGGGAAAACGAGATCAAGAGGGATATGCGGAGATGCAGCTTTCACATGCAGAAAATCGAATTTTTATGCACGCACTTTTGTATATGCTCGCCATTATCGGAACATTAAAGACGGCAATCGAAACAGCCTACTGCTAGGTGTAACGCCGTGAGGGGGTTCACTTTGCGCTGCTAATGCGCTGCGCTAACACACCGAGGGCTTGTGTGGCTCACCATCGACCTTGTAAATTATTTATTAAAACAAATTTCATTTAAAAACTTATAAAAAGTGTTGATTAAGACATACTGCAATTTTTATGCAATTGATGATTGCAATAAAAAATTTATTGCAATCCATTTTTTTTAAATGATAGCATATACTAATTTTTGCAAACAAAATATAAGCCATATTACGTAAAATATGCGATTGCAATCCAATTTAATTGCAATTTCTACAGCCCTGGGGATTTCCTGTACCCACGGATTGAAGGAAGAGTAATTTTATGCACTTGAGGCGGAGGCATAAAACGTCCATGCGAGACCTCTTAATGTTAATATTTTTGCACCGAATTTTCAGCGGATAGTTTTTAGCCTTTATGGAAGCTAAAAGGTCAAGAGTGTCAAAGAAAGAACCAGTTTATTATATGTATTAAAAATAATCAACAAACATTCGTAAAAATTTCTAGCTTTAATTATATTTCCTAGAAAATTTCTGAGTATGCAGTTTTGTAGCCCATTGAATTTTAGTAGAACAAAATACAAGTTTTAAATGGCTCAAAATTACGTTTGATTTTTAGAACTTTTTTTGCCCCATTTGCTTCCATATAACGAATACACACAATTTATTTTTATATGGAAGAAAACCGGAACATAGTGAACACAAAAAAAATATAAAAAATCAAGGGTAATTTTTAGCCATTTGAAACTTCTATTCTACTGGAATTCAATGGGCAAAAAAACTGCTTACGCAGAATCTTTCTAGGAAATCTAATTAAAAAAGCTAGACATTTTTTGGTTTTGGTTTTGTTAAAGAGTATAAGGTATAGTATAAAAAAAAAACAAATAGCAACAAAAATAATATGTTAAAACGCAACGAAAGTTAAGCATTTACTAAAGCTAAAATTTCATACCAGTTTTCGTTGTGCCTCTTCAATTCTTCTGTTGTTTTCTGCAAATATATTTTCCAGTTCTTCTCGTTTCTTTTTGTCAAACTCCTGCAAAGAAATAAATGTTATAATTAGTACGTGACATAGACGTATAACTAAATAAATAAATTCGGGGGAAACCGAACCTTATATACCCGGCGCAGGTATGAAATATCATCGTTTAAACTTTCTCTAAACAACCGTTGCATGATAAGCAGAGGTGTTTTCCCGATTTCAAACGTTTTCGATAATATGCTGCGTTAGACTTAATGATATAATTGGACCAAGTTTTGTAGTAATCGGTAAAGTGGTTACCGAGACACACTTTGTAGCCATAAAGTGGGTGGGGCCACGCCCAATTCCTAAAAGTCTATAGCAGTCTTACTTATTGTTAAGAGATTGTAGTAACTATTGACCTGGAGCTAATTAGCATCCTCAGTTATAGAAATATCGGAGTTTTCGCGTTTATGAAGTTTACCGTTATACTGGAAACGGATGTAATTTTAGTTCGATTTGAATAATTTTCAACGAAATACTTTTCCGTTCCAAGTTTATTAAGTGCACCGAGTTTGGTATAAATTGATAAATCGGTTACCGAGATACACATTTATGGTCATAAGGGGGCGCCACGCCCTTTATCCAAAAATTTATTATAATCTAATTTTCTGCTAAGTGGTTATTGTAATCATCGATTTTAAGTAAATGAGCATCAGTAGTTACTGAGTTATCGCAGTTTTCGTGTTTCTGTAAATTACCGTTAATTGGTTAGTGGTCGTGGCTATTGACATAGTTTAAAGATCAGAAGAAATTGAAAATGAGCGACACGTTTAACAAAATAATTTGAAAAATCAGTAGGTCCCAGCTACTTTAAGAGTGACTTTATTATACTTAAGTTAAATGGGCTACAAAACCGCATACTCAAAATCTGTGAAATCTAATTAAAAAGCTGGACATTTTTACATACAGGTGAAAATAATTTGTATAAGCGTGTTAAAAAAAAATATCTATCTATCTATACTATAATAAAACTGTAGATTGTTTTTCTGTTTGAACTCACTAATCTCCGGAACTACTGAATGGATTTTCAAGGGGCTTTAACTGGTATCTAGACAGTGACCTCGGACGTAACATAGGCTATATTTTATCATAACTGGAATGTGGACAAAAAAGATATACCAATTTTTGCAAACAAAATTTACTTTGCACCAAATTCTTTTGAATACTATTTTGCTTTTCAACGACATCAACATATGCCAGTGTTTATTTTTCGTTATTGATATTTTTTTTCAACTGAAATAGTAATTAGTGTCGTTCGTACATATTGAGAACGGTCTTCAACATAGATTCATACGAGGTTAAACGTTTCTCGCGGAGTTCTGTGTCTTACAAGCAGTGTTGCCAGAACTTTTTGGACGAACCGGCTAAATTGGCAAATAAAACCGGCTAAAAACGGCTAAAATGTTTCAACTAAATTTCACATTTCATTTATTTAAATAAATCACGAGTAAAAAGACTATTTCTTGGAGAGAAGTTACAAATTCGAGCCGGAAAAAATTTTGCCAGCAAGGATTTGCAATTAGGAAAAACATATGATTGTGGCACATGGTTGGATTTTTTGTCGACGATAATATGAATAAACCAGTTCGTTAAATTTAAAAATTTACAAACTGGAGCGATTTTAAAACGAAAAATGTAAGTTAATACTTGTTTACTTAATTAATTTAGTCAATTCCAATGATTTGAAAGGTACTCGGCAAAAAAAACTATCTATTACTATTACTATCTGATATTTTGAGTGATAATTGTCTTCCCTACAAGGCCTTTTCAGACTGACCGATTCTCAATACACTCAGATAGAAACCAATATACATAAAAAACGCTGTAACAATTTCCCTTCAATTTTAAGGCAGTAAAACAACGACCTGAAGTTAACATCAACCGAGGCCATATGTTGACAGGGGATGCAAAATCACAGTTACACAAAAGAGCTGGTCAGATTTTTCAGAAATCCCTTCAATTCTGATGTAAAATATGATGCTAAAAGACTGCAGATCTCCCATTTAGATGACCGGTCATATGACCGGCAGATGTCTCGTAGGATTCCCAGAGAGTTTTGCTTTACATAGAAATTTGTGCTCTTTTATTTTCATTTTGACTCACTTCAGTGTTGGTTCCTTTAATTCAAGTTGGCATTCGGTTTTTGGAATTTAAATAAGTTCTCAGCAAAAAAGTTTGTTTAAAAAAATACATATGGGTACATAGTGCTTGAAAATATCAATTTTTCCCTTACCTTAAACCTTTGGGAGTGGGCAAAAATGATGTTTTGTAATTTAGGCAGAATTGAATATGTGCTATCTGGGAAGACAATATCTACATGTAATATTTATTCTGTATGTTGGCACTATATTCAAACACAAACGAATCTTAAGTGTCTTAACAGTGAAACAATTTCTTATTTTCTTTCTTATTTATTTCTTTGCGAATACAACTTCACACTTAAAATTAAGACATTTATAACAAACATTTTATGAAGAAAATCCCTTCTTCGTTTAAAATAAAAATAAGCGAAATCGGCCCAATTTCATACAACCCTGCCTGACATGAAAATTTTCTCCACGATAAGGCTAGTAGCCATTTCTAACAGATTTTGGGTCGCTTAGTCAAAAATGGAAACATATATACATATTTGAAATTTAAGAAAACAAGACAAATAGCAAAATCGGCTAAAAACGGCTAATTTTTTTCTGAAAACGGCTAACAAATCGGCTGCCGGCTAAATCGAAATTTCTCCGGCTGTTTGCTATCGCAACCGGCTAAATCTAGCCGGAAAACGGCTAAAATGGCAACACTGCTTACAAGAGTGGTGTGTTTCTAAGAATCCGTAAGTCAGAAGATAATCGGTAGGTAGAAACTGATTTATTTAAATTTCTTTGTGTTTCGTGTATCACTATGGGATTTTGTACATACAAATTAATTTGATATTTTGAAAACGCTCACATGAAAAGCATGTTCTGTGAATTAAGCGGATATAGTTCGAAGCATGCCCTTCAGTCAAGAATTGACATATGGAATTAATTATGTATATACATTTCTAGCGAATTTCTAATTTGCGGAATTAAAAGAAATTTATTTAAAAGGAAATAAAGCGTGTGGTTTCAGCATTGACTTATCGAGAAAAACGCTTTTTTAATTTGTGTGAAGTATTGAAATTTTAAAGTATAAAGAAAATGCATGCGCAAAACGAAAAAAAAATCAATAAGTGCTTTCCCTATGAGCGAGAAATATGTACATATCAATGAAATATACATTTGGAGTCATAAATGAGTCTTTAAGGAGTCCCATTTCGGAGCCTTTACGCTCATAATGAGCTCATTTAAGAGCCCGAAATTAGTGTTTTCCTTCCTCCGAAGGTCGACTTATATGAGCTTAAATTCATACACCAAATGAGCCTCCAAATGAGTCATATTGTACTCTTATTGGCTTCATAAACGGCTCGTTTTGGACTCTTTTTAAAGCAATTTTGGGTCTCATATATGAATCGTTTTAGAGTTTTTTTGAGGCTCTTAAATGTGTCTTGTCCTCATCAATTACTTCGTTCGGACTCTTATTTTATGTTGTCCTTTGAGCAATATTGGCCTTATTTTTCAACTCTTATTGAACTTGAAATACTATACACATGTATGTATACATACCTCAGTTATAAACATTCCAATATACATTTAATAGCAGCAACTGCAGCTAAATTTTGTATATTTTTTGTTTTTTAAATATTTTCAATTTCTGTATAAACAATTTTATATATAAATTTCGAATCTTTATTGTTTTTACATAACCACAAAGTGCTGGCTCCTAACTTTGATCATTTATAACTCCTAAAATATTCATATAAGTGTCACACATTTTTTGTTTTTGAAGCTCATATTTCTTACCCACCTAGGACTCCTTTCAGACTCATATATTCTGAACGCTCAGAATATGTTTGTCAGAATATGTTTTATAAACCAATAATAATAATAATAATAATAATAATAATAATAATAATAATAATAA